GAGGTGAGTGTGCCAGGCACCTCAGCTTCCTGTCTGGGGTGGGGTGGCTCTGGCCCGCCCGCTGGCCTCCGCGAGCCCAGCCCCACGCCCCCATGCCCCCCCCTGCCTGCCCACAGGTGTCGGTGATGAACCTGCTGCTGGTGGTGCTGTGGGCCTTTGCCCTGCCCTACCCGCGCTTCCGCCCCATGGCCTCCTGCCTGTCCACTGTGTGGACATGCGTCATCATCGTGTGTAAGATGCTGTACCAGCTGAAGGTCGTGAACCCCCAGGACTACTCCAGCAACTGCACCGAGGTACTGGCCCCCGCCGGCCGGGACGGGAGGCGGCTCCAGGCAGCTGTTTGGGGTCCCACCCTCCCCGGGCGGCCGCTTCACAGCAGTGGGGCCAGCAGTGGAGGTGGAGGGCCCTCCCCCGGGGGATCAAGGGGGCTTCTTGGAGGCAGCATCCTTCCACCTGATCTGTGGATTGGGGCCCACTTCCCGCACACAGGGGTGTCTGTCCAGACAGCGCTGAGGCCCAGGGTGTCCCACGGTGAGGACCAGGCCCAGGAGGGAGCTGCTGGCAGGCGCTTTCTCCCACATCCCTCCTTGTCCTGGGACCTGTCTCCACTCCCCAGCCCCTGCCTCCCTGTCTCTCCAGCACCTGGTCCCCTTCCCCATGAAGGTGGCTCCAAGGCCAGCAGCCCCCATGTCCCTGGCTGGGGCAGCAGTGGACCTGCCCCAGAGCTGTGGCAGTGGTGGGCTCCAGGCAGGACTGCGGGGCACTGTGGCCTGGGAGGGGGCACTGATGCCCGGACTCTTGCCAGCCCTCCCCCAACAGCACCAACCTGCTGACCACGGAGATCAGCCAGTCCCTGCTGTACCGGGGGCCTGTGGACCCCGCCAACTGGTTTGGAGTGCGGAAGGGCTTCCCCAACCTGGGTTACATCCAGGTGAGTGAGGGGGTGGTGGGCAGCTGGGTGGCTGAGCACCCGGCTGCCCTCTGACCCTCGCCTCCTGCAGAACCATCTGCAGGTCCTGCTCCTGCTGGTGTTCGAGGCGGTCGTGTACCGGCGTCAGGAGCACCACCGCCGGCAGCACCAGCTGGCCCCACTGCCCGCCCAGGCCGTGTTTGCCAGCGGCACCCGCCAGCAGCTGGACCAGGACCTGCTCGGCTGCCTCAAGTACTTCACCAACTTCTTCTTCTACAAATTCGGGCTGGAGGTGAGGCAAGGGCATTGCCCCCTCCTGGGGCAGGGCTGGGTTGAGGGGAGGGAGGGCTGACTGCAGGGGCCGCAGGCCTGGGCCCCACTTGAGTCTGCTTGGGCCACGGGGGGGCGGGGGCACAGGGCCAGGCAAGGCTTCCCCCGGACCCCTTCGGTGTGTTGGTGCTGACAAGAGGCAGGAGGCCAAGTCAGATTCACTCTGCCATCCAGCCCACGTCCGGGAGCCTCAGTTTCCCCAGCATGACGGCAACCGCCAGCCCCTCCAGCCCTCTAGATGGGGCTGCTGGCCCTGTCCTTGCTTGATGCCCACAGCCTCCAGGCAGAGCTGCCTGTGCCTGAGGCCCTCGAGGTGGGAGGAGAAAGCCCCTTTCTCCGGACTCAGCCCCCCCCCACCCCGCCCTCTCCCACCCCAGATCTGCTTCCTGATGGCTGTGAACGTGATCGGGCAGCGCATGAACTTCATGGTGACCCTGCACGGCTGCTGGCTGGTGGCCATCGTCACCCGCAGGCGCCGCCAGGCCATCGCCCGCCTCTGGCCCAACTACTGCCTCTTCCTGGCGCTGTTCCTGCTGTACCAGTACCTGCTGTGCCTGGGCATGCCCCCGGCCCTGTGCATCGGTGAGGGGCACACGGCTGGGGTGGGCGTGGGCTTCGTGGCCTTGTGGATGCCGGGGGATGTTTCTCGCCTGCCCCAGGCTCCTGTCCACCCTCCTGGACTTGGCCTTGGCCTCCCTCAGTTGCTCCTGCGTGTGTCTCCCGCCCACCCCACATCCCTCCAGGCTCTGTCACCTGCGCTCCCTCTTGGGGGTGGCCTGGCCCCTCCAGGCTCAGCTGTCCTCACTTCCTTTCTGTCCCATATTCTATTTTGAACTATTTTTTTTTTTTTTTTTTTTTTTTTTTTTTTTTTGAGACGGAGTTTCACTCACGTTACCCAGGCTGGAGTGCAATGGCGCGATCTCGGCTCACCGCAACCTCCCCCTCCTGGGTTCAGGCAATTCTCCTGCCTCAGCCTCCTGAGTCGCTGGGATTACAGGCACACACCACCATGCCCAGCTAATGTTTTTTTTTGTATTTTCAGTAGAGACGGGGTTTCACCATGTTGACCAGGATGGTCTCGATCTCTTGACCTCGTGATCCACCCGCCTCGGCCTCCCAAAGTGCTGGGATTACAGGCGTGAGCCACCGCGCCCAGCCTTATTTTGAACTATTTCAAACCTTCAGGAAAGTTGTGGGAGTCCTCTCTGGGCCCCACAAGGGGCAGCCAGGATGCCTCACACCCAAGTGCTGCCTTAAGCGTGGGTCTCCTGGGGGCGGACATCCCTGAGCCCACGGCCCTCACACATGGGCCGTCCCCTGGCAGTGTCCTCTGGATTGAAGCAGCCCCAGCCTCAGCACCTCCTTTGCGGCACTCTGGTTTTGAGATAGGATCTGGTCTGATGCTTGCGCGTGATCTCATCTCGGGTCACCCCCACCGCCTCGCTTGTCTCTCGGGAAGCTGTGGAGGGTGCTTGGCGGCGTGGCTGGTGCGCTGAGACTGGACTTGTGTGGCTGTCCTGGTGTTGAGGGTCTGTTCCAGGCGCACAGCGCCCTGCGGTCTGAGACGGGAATCACCTTCGCGTGTGCGGCCGGCTCAGGGGTGTCCCACCTGCCCCACAGTGGCACCCAGCCTGTCGGCGTTGGTGGGCTGTCTGGGCTCATTCTGGCGTCATGAAACTCTGTGGTCTCTGTGCATCCATCAGCTGGGTTTCCTGTCAAGGAGAGCGGCCACTTCTCACTGGTGTCAGCAGCCCTGGGCCTCCCCTTGGCTGCACGGACCCCGGCCTCTGTGGTCACACATGGTCATGTTGTCCTGGATCCAGTCCTAGGGCCCTTTGAGCCATGTCCCCGAGCTCCTGCCCTGTCTTCCAGTCAGGCCCACTGAGGCACAGTTCACACACAGCAGGCGTTGCCTACAGCCTCGTGGCCCCAGGCCGCCTCTCCCCCTGCTCTGACCGCCGCTCTGACCATCTCTAGGTCTGCCTTTGCCGGACACCTCAGGAGCAGGTGCACACAGCTCGGCACCTTCTGTCACAGAGGGAACGCAGAGATTCACCCATGTCAGTGCGCCAGCACTTCAACTGTTGATTTTTCACTTCTTATGTAGACTTACCCCAGAGTCACACGGAGCCCCCAGTGCCCTAGTCCCAGCCTCCCCCAGTGTCAGCCATGAACACGGGCCAAGGAAAACGACCAAAACAAGACAGGCTTCTGTGCTGAGCGGAAATGGAGCTTCCGGCACGTGCCTCCCCGTCGCGTCCCGGGACTGCACACGGGATCCCAGGCTCCATCTGGTCATCTGGCCTCTGTCTCCTCATGGGTTCCGGTCTCTCCTTGTGTTTCCTGGCCTTGAGACTTCTGACAGAGCACTGGGCTGTACCTTACAGTGTCCCTCGGTTTGGGGTTGCCTTGGTGTTTCTTTCCTTAGACCAGCTCTTGCGTTTTGGGCACCACCACAGATGTGAGGCGTCCTCCGTGCCTCTCACTGGGGGCAACGCGTCTTCTCACGTCAGCCTTCACTCACCTGCAGAGGCCCGCGTCTGCCAGACTTTCTCATGTGACATTGGCACTCTTTTTGTAATGAACAAATTCTTGGCGAGACAAGGTGGCTCACGCCTGTAGTCCCAGCACTTTGGGAGGCTGAGGCGGGTGGATCACGAGGTCAGGAAGCCGAGACCATCCTGGCCAACATGGTGAAACCCCGTCTCTACTAAAAATACAAAAATCAGTCGGGTGTGGTGGCGGGCACCTGTAGTCCCAGCTACGAGGGAGGCTGAGGCAGGAGAATCGCTTGAACCCGGGAGGCAGAGGTTGCAGTGAGCTGAGATCCCGCCACTGCACTCCAGCCTGGTGACAGAGCGTGACCCTGTTTCTAAATGAATACATACGTATTTATTCGGCTGGGCATGGTGGTTCATGCCTGTGATCCCAGCACTTTGAGAGGCTGAGGCAGGAGGATTCCTTGAGGCCAGGGGTTTGAAACCACCCTGGTCAACATAGCAAGAATTCTTTTTTTTTTTTTTTAAGATGGAATGTTTCTCTGTTGACCAGGCTAGAATGCAGCCTCCATCGCCTCAGTTCAGGCAATCCTCCTGTCTCAGCCCCCTTAGCAGCTGGGATTACAGGCACGCACCACCATGCCCAGCTAGTTTTTGTGTTTTTAGTAGAGATGGGGTTTCACCATGTTGGCCAGGCTGGTCTTGAACTCCTGATCTCAGGTGACCCCCCTGCCTTGGCCTCCCAAAGTGCTGAAATTGCAGGCATCAGCCGCTACGCCTGGCCCTATTTGCTATGCTGGTTTTCTGTTTCCTCATCTCTTCTACATATATGAATTGGCATCTTCTGTAAGGAGAAGCTGTCCTTTCTCCCCTGCTGATTTATTTATTCAGTTATTTATATCTGTGGACACAGGATGTGGGTCATCATCTCTGGGACTGGCTGTGGGACCAGCGCTGTTCACTCTGTCTTGCGTGTGGTCACGGCTTTGGGCCCTGGGAGCTCCGGGCGCTCTCCGCCTGCCCCACCCTTTTCAAGTTCGTCTTTTTTTCTTGTTTCTTTTGAGATGGAGTCTTGTTCTGTTGCCCAGGCTGGAGTGCAGTGTGGTGATCTCAGCTCCCTGCAACCACCGCCTCCTGGGTTCATGCTATTCTCATGCCTCAGCCTTCCAAGAAGCTGGGATTGCAGGCGCGCACCTCCACCACACCCAGTTAATTTTTCTATTTTTAGTGGAGATGGGTTTCACCATGCTGGCCAGGCTGGTCTTGAACTCCTGACCTGAAGCGATCTGCCCGCTTTGGCCTCCCGCAGTGCTGGGATGGCTGGCGTGGGCACCGCACCTGGCCTGTCTTGTTTTCTGCTCCAGGCACGGCTGCCTCATGTTGTGCTTCCCCAGCACAGGCCTGCACTCACAGCCACTGCTCCGGGGAGTGTGATGGAGCTCCAGGAGCGTGAGGTTCAGAGAGCGAGGTCTACACCAGGTGTGCCTGTCACTACAGGGCTGCCTCTGCTTCTCGTCCCTCTACCTCTTTCTTACTGAAACACCTGCCCTCGAGAGGCGCCGAGGCCAGCTTCCCTTCTGTCTCCTTCCACAAGACCGTGCCATGAGCACCCTGTGAGATCAGTGCGTCCTGGGGTCCCTGACATCGAGGGCAAGTTTGTTTTAATGTCACGGGGTTCCCTCTGCGGCAGATGCTGCTGTGGGTTTTGCAGATGAGTGGCGTCATGCATGCAGTCCCACAGTCCTTAGGGACTGACCCTCCCTGCCTCGCACGCCTCCCAGGAAGTGTGGCCAGGGGCTGGTGGTGCCACGGATCCTCCCCCAACAGCCCCTGACCCAGCCCATCCCTGGCAGATAGTCCTGTCAGGACGTCACATCAGCAGGCCCGTCCAGGCTGTCTCGCGTGGTCTGCAGGCCCCTCTAGGCTGTCTCGCGTGG